CATGAACTCCTCTGTATACCAAAGTATTCTAGAGTCAAATGTGAGGCCATCTGTCTGACAGTTAAAGCTTGGCTGACACTGGGTCATGCAACAGGACAATTATCTCAAGCACTCCAGCAAATCTACAATAGAATGGCTGAAAAAAAAAAAGAAACAAGGTGTTGCAATGGCCCAGTCAAAGTCCAGACCTCAACCCGATTGAAAGGCTGTGGCGGGACCTCAACAGAGCTGTGCATAAACAAATGCCTGCAAACCTCAATGAACTGAAGCCATGTTGAAAAGAGTAGGCCAAAATTCCTCCACAATGATGTGAGAGACTGATAAAGTCATACAGAAAATATTACTTCAAGTTATTGCTGCTAAAGGTGGTACTACAAGCTGTTGAATCATAAGATGTACTTAGTTTTTCACACATGGCTTCTCCATTTTGGCTTTCTTTTAATAAATTAAATGATGACATGATGTAATATGTCATGTGTTGTTGTTCATCTCAGGTTGTATTTACCTACTTTTGAGAACTGCTAAGGACCAGATGATTTTTATTATGTCCAGATATGTAAAACCACAGAACTCAAAGAGGGTGTACTTTCTTTTTCGCACGACTGTATATCAATAAGAGCATTTTACCTTGGTCCTTTGGGCTCTGCATTGACTCCTTATCAGCTTTTATATGCAATTCAAAGAACTGGCCTTGATCTATAAACTCTTGATGGCTTGGCATTTTAGTACCCACAGGACTGTCTTCTCCAGCCAAATTCAACCCATCCGATTCACTCATCCTTTTGTAAGGTGCCTGTGGTATGGAACAGCCTTCCATTGGAAGTCAGATTGTCCCATGTTATTGGGTTTCTGAGAATTTTTACAAATTGAATTGTTTCAGAAAGCCTGTGATGAGTGAAATGACACCATCAGTTTATTATTGTTGTTACTGTTTCTTGTTTTATTTTACAATTTTTACATTTATATTATGGATGTTTTATTATACTTTTATTTTATTGTGAATGTCATATGATAACTACAGAGTCTATGGAGAGGGCAGCTATGAAACTAGTGAATTCGTAAATATAAAGTGAGAGTTGGATATGCTAGGAGAAACAAAAAAGTAAGTTGAATGCAGTAGCAATGGGGTACTTAAGTAGTATATGTGGTAAAACAAGGATAGGGCCAAGAATGAATGGGTGTTTAATGGAAGTGGTCTGGATACAGAACTGAGTGATTAATATGATAGATGTTGAGACAGTTTGTCATACAGAGAGAATAAGAACTGAATTATAAAAACAATTATATGAAGGATGACTGCATGAGGGAAAGGGGAGGAATAAGAAAATCATAGTTGAATGGAAATGTAATGATCAAAAAGTGAGACTGAAAGGTTTAAGAACAAAAGACAACATCTGAAGTGGTTTAAGGATGGTTTGTAAGGATAGAAAAAGCAGAGTGTTGGTGTAAACTAGATTCCATTATTTATTTTTAAATCTCCAGGCTTTAATTTCTTTAGCTCACTATTTTTTACTCTTCTTCTGTACTTTGCAGAATACTGTGTATTGCAAAAGAAAATAGTGTGATGGTTTTCTGTAACAAAGCCGCATACTATGGCTTACAATCCACAATAGCTGGATTCAGTCAATATGCCAAACCACATTACAGCTTCGCATGAGGAGCAAACTCAGTCGTCGTAATAAACTAACACTACTTATTTACTGTTATGACTTGTTTTGTTATAAAACATTTTGCAAAATGTCACCTTTATTCCAGAAGTAACAGTTGGTTGACTGTTTGACACTAAGTATCCACATTTGGCTGAAACAGCAACAGAATTTTTTATTGTCTGGAGCTTTTAACACATACCTCAAGTTGTTACATGAAACGGTAAGATCAATCCACAAACAAGGAGCTAAATGTCAAATCTGCACACAGAAGGAAGAAATTTATTGTCTGATGTTCATAGGCCTCCATTTATTTTTTTATTATTGGGTTTATATGTCGCCAACTCTGTACAACAAAATTAAAACATCCATGGTATAATATAATATGTAAGTAATAAGCATGCATGGTTAAATTTAAACAATATCAAAACCACAGATATCAAAATGTCCACAGTAAGAAAAAACAACCCCAACCCCCCAAAATTATAATTATCACTATACCAATCACACATGATATAAAAGAAAACCACACAACTAGAAATCAGCCAACACCAGTAAGATGACATCAATCACTAAAGGGCTTTCAAAACAATTCAGTTTTTAATGTTTCCCAGAAAGCTACTACATGGGAGGGGTAAGCCTGATAGTCAAACGGAGGCTATTCCACAATATTGGGACCATTATAGCCATTGTCTTTGGCTTTGCACCCCCAAATCTCACAAAAATGCAGGATTGTCAAGAATGTTTTACTTGTGATGAATATACAAGGTGTGTCAGTTCTAACTGGAGAATACAGTCCTGGAGCCACCTCAGCACAAAACCATAAAGGGCTTTATAGGACATAAAGAGCACTCTAAAACCTACTGGCCGCCAATACAGGGCCTTAAGCACAGATAAAATGTGTCTTTGGTAGTTACCACCTGTCAGCACATGGGCTGTCATGGTTTCTACCAGTTGCAGCTTTCAAGTAGTCTTAAAGGCAACTCCATTTGTGATAAAACTTATTTCAGGATATATTTTCTCAGTGAATGAGGGCTGCACATTTAGTTTTTGAGGATATTGTGTAATAATACTTTATTTTGTTGATGTTAGTCTTGTGAATGTATCATACCATCAGGGAATGGTAACACCAGCCTCAAAAAGAGCAGAAGTCCACCAACCGCTGACGAACTCTTCCATGGATCAGTGGATCTTCCAATTACCACCCACTGTTTCATTTCTGCAGCTGCTCTTGCAGGAGACTGATTCTCTCAATTATTTCCAATCTAGATTCAGCCCTAACTTAGGGAAAGAATCAACCATGGTTACCCTGGTTGATAACCTCCTGTAGGAGAGAGAGGAAGAATGACTCAGTTAATTTATTTTGATCTCTTAGTGGGTCTTGATCAAATGATCCTCTCTGATCATTTCTGGAGTTGGAGGTTGGAGGCACTGTGTTACAGTGGTTCTGCTCCTGCTTGTAATGACATGCCTCAGACAGTGTTACTGGCTAACAGTGTCAAGGCACTCAGATAGCCATGATGCCACAAGGCACAATCTTGTTCCCCATTCCATGTAACATCTATATGAAACTGATGAAGGCAGTCATCAGAATTTTCAGATGGTATCATCAATATGCTGATGATATTCAGCTTCATTTCTTTGTAACATCTAACTTGGGAGAGGCTATACATGTCCAGAAGTAATGACTGAATGCAGTGATTAGACAGAGGAGCTAAACTGCTAAATCTTGCAAGCAGAAACCCTGTTGGTTGGTGCTGTCTGGGTACATACACTGCTGAGTTTGCCTGTTCTACATGGGGTTGCACAAATTCAGAATGAACATGTAAAGTAATTTGGAGCTAGAGTCATCAATGTCACTGAAAGCCTAAGTGATCCCTAGGGCCAGAAATAGCAATTACCAACTTTGATGGATATATCCTTTCTTGGATGGAGATAATCCAGCTAGTTTTTCATACAGAGGTAACTTCATATTCTGATTATTACAGCAGGCTGTTACACTTGGTCTAGAAGTTATAGCTGGTAAAAATGTGGTGAATAAGTTTTCCTGTGGGGCACCTGCCCTTGCATTTATTACTTCACTGCTAAAACTACTGCAGTGACTGCCAATTTGCTACTGAGTGAAACTCAAGCTTTTGTTTTTTAACATATAAAACTCTAAATATCTTTGTATAAGTATACCTGATTCTTTCAGTGTTACAGTTCTGTTTGATCCTTTAAAAATAAAATAAAAAATAAACATGGTCTATTTGGTTTGGACTCAGTTTGTTGTATGAACCTTGCCAAGTGTGATTCATTCAATAACCACGGTGAAGCAAAGCATGATTTAACATGTGAATCATTGTTGTCACACAGAGTAAAGCTTCAACTTAACACACAACTGGGGGAAACTAGTTCATTACTTCTTTGCATACGCTGTCTAGCTTCCGAATAGAAGAGGAGAAGGCATTAGGATGGAAGCAGTCAAGCAGGAGACATGATGAATTAAAATCCTAATACTGCAACTGGAAATGCTTTTTCTGCACAGCAAAAATGGATAATTGATCTGTGTGTTCCACAACCAAGAAGCCTCATTTATTCAACTAGAGACCTATTTTGCATATTCAAATTCTTAAATATTCATAACCTTCTCCATTCCATATTCTAATATAATAGGAAAATTATACTGTTGTTGAGGCTGACAGTAAATTCTCCAAATAAAGAGTATCAGGAATGGTTCTATTATTCTATTGGCAACTGAGAATATCTGATCTCATATTATTTATCTGAATTAAGCATAAGTCATCCCCCTTGAAATCTCAGTAGATTTTTCTTTGGCAGCAATCCTGTTTATGTTGAGGCACAAATAGAAGTATTTCACTTAGAAGCTATAAATAACTAAAATCAACGAATTATTAGATGTTAAATAAGATTTCAAGAACTGAACATAAAGCTGTATTTATACTGAACGATATGTTAATTAACCCTTGATACTATTTTTTTTTACACAAACCAGAAAAACAAATTTTGAATTTCAATCCCTCCCTCCAGTAGTAAATATAGGTGACTTGTGTATCTAGTAATTTGAAAAACAATAGGGCTTCTGAAAAATGAGGGGCTTCTATTTAACTTGGGAATTCCTAGGTATGCAGATTTAAACATTAAAACATGCCACACTATAGAATACTGATAACAGCCGGATCTATACAGGAGATAAGAAAGCCTGTGGAAATCAGCAGCAACGTAAAAATAAATAAATAAGACAATGGTCTAAAGAAATCAGACCAGATTATGGTTGAGAGGGTTCACATACAGAGGTCATGTTGGCACATAATGAATGATAAGCCAGAATGTCTATTTTATCCAAGGTTACTATGCACAAGTAGTGTACTAATATACAAAGTCTGTTAACTCCTCTCTACATAAACAAATTAAACCAATCAGATGCAGATAATGTATTGTGAAATTTAAATGCAGGATCTTGATTTCTTGTTTTCAAAGAACCATGTATTTTCTCAAATTTATTTTTATTTATTTATTTATCATATTTGTCATTGCCCATCTCATTGAAATGACTCTGGGAGGTTTACAGCAAAGATAAAATTCATTAAAATACAATATAAAACAGTCCTAATGATGACGACTATAAAAGCATGGTTAGAATGTCTGCTGTAAACATCCAGAAACCCCAAAAGATACAGGCCAGGACAAAAGCAGTTCCTCTAATTCTAGATGAAAGAGTAAGACTTGGGGATGGGGGCAAGGATGGGGGAGAGGAGTTCAGAATCAAGTGCATCTTTTGCTGTTATAGTTATGTGCTCAGGAGCTGATTCTACATAACTTAAAAGGAGATTATTTTGGACAGAGGCAACTAACATTTGTGGATACATTTGGATTTACTGTATTTATTCTGTTTGTATACCACCAAACTATGAAAGCACGTCATTGCCACTATCAGAAAAGGGCTACTACAGGGACTTATTTATCAAACATCTACAATAAGTTGGGTTGCCTGTGGCTTTCATTTACCAGAAGGCAAATTACTGAAGCTTCTCTTTGATACATCCTTTATCTTCCTTCTCCTCTTTTACCTTTTCTCTGGGCTTACAGGCTTACCTCAAGAAAAGCACCCAAGTTACAGCCAACTTGTTTTTTCTAAGCTGGCTAAAAATTGGTCTTCTTGGAAATAAAGATGGCACTAGAAGTTCATGTTTTGCAGTGTACCAGTTCTCCCACTGTTTTAATTAAAATAAGGGCCAGTAAGGTGCCTGCTGGGCCCACTGCTTTCAATGGTAACCATTTGGAAGTTTTATCTCTTTCTCACTCCCAATTTTTTCTCCCAAAGTAGCCTGACCAAGATTACTGAGTTCTTCTTCCAGATTGTCTGTGGACCTGTCCTCTTAGGAATATACTGCAATAATGTGTTGATGGCCCATAATTGTTTCATACTAGTATCTGTTTGGTTACATTCTCATTAATTTACCTCTAACTATAGTTACAGTAAAATCTTGTATTCTCAGTTTATTCAGTAAAATTCTTTAATCCAAATATTGTGTCCATATGTATCAGGCAACTATCAGTCAAATATGACTTATATGTTTAAGAAAAATTCTCTTTCTTGCAAGCAGCACTTTTTAAAATTATGCCAAACTTACTGAACAGGAGTTTCTTTACATTCCAAATTGTTATGCAGTCATTACTGTCTGTTATCTGCTTAGTTCAGACAATTCCCATTTATTTTGAAGGGAATTCACTTTTGCATAAAGGTTTTAACAACTTTTGGACTCTGTCAGAGTTAAATGACCCACAACTAATTTTAGGTGTACCTAACTTAGCAAAGGTTTAGGAGTATCCAGCTTGTAATTTTCTATGTGATTTATAAATAATTCTATGCAAGATATAAACATTCAGAGCCTTTTACGTTTGCATTCTTTTTGTCTTTTCTTGAAGTTTTTACTATCTTCTACCAACTATTGGTCTTGATCTGCATCTCCTCCTTTTTGGTCACTCTCACTGATTTTTCTCTCTTATATATTAGCTGTTATGCACTCAAGCACTACAGTTTTTTTGCACCAATAAATCCTTTCATTCAGCTCTACCCTTAGTTATTTTAAAATGCAATCCCATGCAACCTAACTTGTAAAAAAGTCTTACTGAATTTAAGAGTCTTAATATCTCAGTAAACAGGTAAAGAACTACACTATCAGTCCACCAATTTCTGTCAGCAGGATCTGAAGCCTAGTGACTCAGTGAACCTCTTGTTCACAATTCTCTATCTATCCAATGTGGGCAGCTGCACAAATTCAGGATAAAGGAAACACAACCCCACAACTCAGTTCACAAAATTTAATATTAACCCAGGAGTCTCAAGAAACAGAGGAGAAAAACTAGAACTTTTCAAATTGATATTATGCGTGTTTACTCAAAAATAAGTAATTTTATTTATTAGGTTCCAAATATGCACTACTTGGAAGCAGAATGTGCATTTACTTCACTTTCACAACACTATAACATAAATGAGACAAACATGTTACAGTTCAGTCTTTAAACATTTCATGCCAAGGATACTGTGCTACAGTCAAACAATTATGATGCATATATTCATGTGTTACTGATTTTTCTTAAGTAAAAAATGATGAGTTTATATGATTTGTCTAGTTCTTTTAGGTCACCTAAGCTATGCATTTGTTAAAACTTTATGCACTTCCTATGTGCCGAACAAATTTTCATATTCTGCATTTTAATAAACTTTATGGTTAATGTTATTACATAAAAAGGTTATTTTTCTGAAAAGTATTTTATTAGATGAACAATATATGTGACTCCTAAGTACTGTTTGCTTTTATTACTGCTCTCCTCAAAATTGAATTAGTGTCAAATCATGCGGGCTTCATTCAAAGAAAATAGGTGAAATAACCAGACTAATTTAATTTTTGCTTTTTTTCTTTACTAGTTGAGTAGTATATTTTTAACAAGCCAATTTTATTTGGGGAAAAGAGGAGTCTATCTCCAGAAGGCTCTTCAGTTAGAAAGCATCGACCAGTAACCAAGTTTTTCATACTATTTTTGGTCTTGTAAACTAAACAAAGCATCTTGTTTATCCCTATCCATACAGCTCAAGAACCTTCCTTCCTTACTATAACTCAGCTGGTAGCTACAGAACTGACAGCGCCAAATCCCAGACAGGTAAGAAAGCAAAGCCAGGCACGCTTGGAGCCTGACCACTAATTACAATACAAAGACGCCACCTAGCGTCCAAAGGTACGGAACTTCACCTCCCGCTCCGTTAGAGCTCGCATTCTCGCAGCTGCTGCGCTATTAAGGCCCAGCCCAACGAACTAGAGGCATAACAAAATGGCGGCTGCCCGCCGCGTCACGTGACCCCCTTTGTGCCTTTCGGGAGGCTGAGGGGAGCCCGGCAGGCGGCCTTGGTACTCGAGCCGAGACAGACGGACATCTCAGGGGGGCCTCCAGAGGGAGAACAGACGGGGCTATTAGGGTTCAACATCGCCCTCTTCCCATGGGGGGAGGGGAGGAAAGGGGGAGGAAGCGGGGAGAAAATGGCGGCCATTTTGTGCTTGCGCAGAGGCGATGGTGGGGGCCTGGGTACAGGGCGATGGCGGGGCCCGGCTCGGCCGGAGTAGGGACGGGAGGGGGTCTCTCACGTACCGACTCCTCTTCCTTCTCCATGCCCGTGGGCATCTGCGGCACGGCCCGGTTGATCGAGGCATACTCGGCCAGGTCGGGCAAGTCCTCGCAGCGGAAGACGGGAAGCGGCTTAGACGCGTCCAGCGCCCGGGCCCGGAAC